GATGTGGTGCCTGTAAACACAAAGCTCTTCACATAACTCCAACCCAGGCTGCTACCAAAGCCACCCATGCCTTCATATTTCTGAGTCATTCAGCAAAACCACCACAGATCCTATTAATTCTAGACCAGCCTCTCCAAGGTTCCCCACTACCTATACCAATTCCCTTTTTATAAGTGAATAGAAAACAGTCTAGAAAATTTCTTTGGGAGAAACACAATAATTCAATAAATATATTTGAATGCCTACAGTGCATCAGGCACAAGAGATATAACAGAATAACACAAACATGTGCCTTAGAAGCTACATTCTAGTTGGATAGGGCTAATAAAATAGAAAATTGGTAGATTTTTCATAACTCTTAAATACATTTCAGTTCGTCATGATTTTGTTTGTTTCGGTTTGTTTGAGATAGGGTTTTGCTATGAAGCCCAGGTTAGCTTGAAACCCAAGATTTTCTTGCCTCAGACTCCCAAGTGTTGTGACACTACAACTGGCCTTGTTACAGCTTTTTTAGATGTTTATTTATGTGTGTGTGTCTGTATGAGCGGATGCCATGTGCAGGTTCCTGAGGAGGTCAGAAGAAGGAGTCAGATACCTGGAGCTGGCATTACAGGGGGTTGTGGGTCACCTGACTTGGGTGCTGGGAATTCAATTCAGGCCCTCTGAGACATCTCTCCAGTGCTTGTCATGATTCCATAAAGTGCACTAGAGGAAGAACTCTATCCAAGTATTCTAAAATGTAACTTGGCCTTCCTGATCACAACCAAGTATGTTTTCAGCACTACGCTTACCTTTGCCAAGGCAGGAGGATGAGATGTTCTTTACTTTAGAACTTAAATAGTCAGATGCCCGCCCATGGGAGTCTCCACTTGTGCCTGGTCTCAGGGCCACCGGATTAGGAGCCGATTTGTTCTTAGGAGGGTGTTGTTTCCCATAGATTTAGTTTCTTATTCATGGCATCAAAACCAGTGGTTTAAGTCCAATTTTCTCCAAACAGATGCGCAAAATAGCATCACTTTTGTAATCCTAGCACTTGGGAGGCAGGGACGGGAGGATCACAAGTTTAAGGACAGCCTGAGTTTAATACATAATAAGACTCTGTCTCAAAAGTATGGCTTTTGCTAGGTGCTTTCTTTGCACAAAACAGAAATCCCATGCAGGTTAGCTAAGTCAGGGAGGTGTTATTTATACAGACAACCTGACTCATGATGGTTCTGTTGATGATTTTTCTACTTTCCCCTGGAGTGGGAGTGACAGGCATTCAGAAGAAGGTATGGTTGGGTTTTGAAATTTGATCTTTTCTTGAGCTAGATGCATGCGATGTGGGATTCTCTTCTGACACTGAGTAGAAGCAATGAACCACAGCTTCCAGTCAGTTCTGTTCTGTGAGGGGAAGAGGCCTACAGCCCCTTGTGTTCTGGGTGGGTAAGCTGGGGTGGGGCAGGTGCACTGGATGCTTTGTTGACTTTCCATTTCAACTGATGTGTTTTTCAGGATGCTATCCTACTGTCAGGTGGAGTATCTATGTAAGGAGTCACAGAATGTAAGAAAGAGTTCTTGGGATTCTAAGAACAGAAATTAGTACCAATGGGCCTTGTAGCGAGGAAAAGTGGAGTGGCGCGTAGACAGCGCCAGGGATCAAGATAGTAGAGTTGACGTGACTATAAGTCACTACACTGTTGTCACATTTTGTGTGTATGTACATGCCACAGCATAAATGTGGAGGTCAGAGGACAACCTATGGGAGTTTGTTCTTTCCTTCTATCATGTGGTTCCTGGAGAACAAGTGCTGGTCATTAGGCTTGGTGACAAGCCCTTTACCTGCTGAGCGATCTTGAGGGCCTGCCACAGCATTCCTAACTGGTTCCTCCATTGTGTGTCTTTTCTCCGCCTAGAAACTTCTTCCAAGTGTGATTTGGCTTGCTCACAGGGGCTCTGTGCCCCTTCACTCAGAGTGTTTCAGCACCCCACCCCCAGGCTGCCATCTGCCCCATTCACTCCATATTTCTAAAATAAAAATTTAAAGGAAAAAAAAAAACCCAAACTGGATTCTCTTGCTCCTTAAGGAAATATCTGATCATCTCTGGCCAATTTTAGCTATATTTCTAGTCTAATTAAAACACTGGGGTGTGTGTGGGGGGTCAGTTGGTAGAGTGCTTACCTAGCATGTATGAAGCCCCCAGCACCACATAAACCAGGTGTGGTGGAGCAGACCTGTAATCTCAGCACTGGGGAGGTAGAGGCAGAAGGATTAGAAGTTCAAGGTCATCCTCAAGTACATAGTGAATTTGAGGCCAGCCTGGCCTACCTGAGACCTTGTCTCACAAAGCACAACAAAAACATGGTGAGGTATCAGTACTGGGTTGCAGCTCTTGGGCCAGGTATGTACTGGCATCGAATCAACATTACTGGAGGGCTCTTGGGTAAGAAATGTGGCTGCTGAGGGTTGGCTCCTTGGCAGGGCTTGTGCAAGGGGCTGTGGTGCACTGTGGTGGTTGGGGTTGGTTTTGCTAGCTTACCAATCACACTTTAAAAAAATTTTTTATTATTTTTATTTTATGTGTATGCGTGTTATGCCTGCATGTAGGTAAGTGCACCCGTGTTGTGCAATGCCTGCAGAGGACAGAAGAGACTGTCGGATCCCCTGGAACTGGAGATATGGACAGTTGTTAGCTGCCATGTGGGTACTGGGATTTGAACCCGGGTCTTCTGCAAGAACAGTCGGTGTTCTTAACCGCTGGCCCGTCTCTCCAGCCCCCAATCACACTTTCTATACAGTCTTCTAGAACCACAGCATTTCACAATCAATTGAGCATTAATCACCACCTCATATAAGGAATATTAAATTTTCCCTCCTTGTTACCTCTTGCTCATTTTCTGAGTGTGTTGGACAATGCTTCTTCCTTAAAAGCTTCATATAACTCATTTCAGTGGAGCCTACACCTCTCCTAGTAGAGGCCCAGGAAAAGTCTAGATAAGGCACTAGTCAATTTGATGGTTGTACAATGAGGGTGCACTTACATATATGCAAATACACTCATACACATAAAACTAAAAGTAATAAATAAAATGTTAAAGACATACCTTTCATTTAGAGTAAAAGATGTCTCTGATAATTCCAAAGAGAAAACCTTTTGAATAGACTCAATGAACACTGACATTACTAAAATGTCATGGTTCTAAAGGGAAATACTGTAAGCTCAATCCACAGTTGCCCTATTTGCAAATGAGTGCACGTCTCCCTTTGCTGTTACACATTCAGAACATGTTGAAACCACCAGTCTAAGGGTGATGTTTTATTTAGTTGACTTCTTGAGACAGGGTCTTACTATTAACCTAGACTGGCCTCAAACGTAAGGTCCTCTTGCCCCAGCCTATTGAGTGCTGGGATTATGGGAATGTGCCATCACACCCAGTCAAAGAGACTAGGATGGAGGCGAAAAGATCTGCCCCTGGAATTCCTATAGTGGTACTTCAGAGTTCCCCAAATCATATTGTACCAAATTATGTAATCGAAGCACAACATGGGGGCAGACAAGATGGCTCAGCAAGTAAAGGTACTTGCCACCAAACCTGATAACCTGAGTTCAGTTCCAGGACCCACATGGTGGAAGGAAAGAACTGACTCCTACAAGTTGTCTTCTGGTTTCCACACACATACTATAGCATGTACGCTCACACACACACACGCACACGCTAAACAAATAAATAAATGTAATACAAATTTTAAAGCAACACGGGCTTTTGTGGACTGGCATGGAAGCTAGGCTCTCATTTTTAGCTCCTAAAGACACTCACAATAGTTTGGAACATATCTTACTCATAATTTTGAGGCAGTCTTCAGTGTGTACATGATCTCTATTAAAACTCTAGGGGCCTGGAGAGATGGCTCAGTGGTTAAGAACACTGGCTGTTCTTGCAGAAGACCTGGGTTGGAATCCCAGCACCCACATGGCAGCTAACAACAGTCCGTAACTCCAGTTCCAGGGATCCGATGGCCTCTTCCATTCTCTGCGGGCATTGCAGGACATGGGTGCATTTACCTACAGGCAGGCTATACACACATACACATAAAGTAAAAATAATAAATAAAATATTTTTTAAAAAACCTCTTTCCAGGGCTGGGGATGCTGTTCATTGGTAGACTGCTTGCCTTGCATGCACAAAGCCCTCAGTTCAACCCCCAGCACTGCCTAACCTGGGTATAGTGGCATATGCCTGTAATCTCAGCATTTGGGAAGGGGAGGCAGGAAGATCAAAAGTTAAAGATTATCCTTAGCTACACAGCAAGTCTGAGGCTAGCCTGTCTCAAAAACAACAACAGCCTCCTTGTGTAAAAGAATACGATTTTGTTGACAAAGCATCATTTATTATCTAAAGCAAACTCTCACTTTTCAAAAGCAGTATTTTCTCCCTGGAAAAATGTTTTCCTACTGCTTCAGAGGTCCAGTGATTCTGTAGTGTTTCAAGGGCCCTAAACTCTAAGGTGTTTGCACTTGCTTTTAACAAAATAACTTCCTAAAACTCAGTCACTTCATCTGAAATTTTCTCCTACTCATTTCCGCACTTGAGACATTAAGGAGCTGTTATCTTGGTCGAGGTTATGCTTTGGTACAAGAAGTATTTGCCAGTGGTCTAGAAGGATGGAGGGAAGTGTTATTAAGTATATGGTGTTTGTATCACATGGGATGAGTTTAAACTGCACACACACACACATACACAAACATACACAAACATCACAGAGTGCTTTGGGTAGCAGTGATTACGACACGGCAAGCAAAATCATTTCTGCCATGAATGTGCTGGGGTGACATCTGATTAGCATAAGTATACCACAGGCATCTTGTCTGCTCTTGACACAAGCAGGCAGTGCTGTGAAGCTTCTCTTAACCCACCACTCAGGCACATCCTGAGTACTCAGAAAGGAGACTCAGATGCTAAACAGTAGCCTCTATTTTTTTTTTTTTTTTGAGACATAGTCCACATATCCCAGGCTGGCCTTGAACTTACTATGTAGTGGAGGATGGTCTTGAATTCCAGATCCTCCTACCCCCACCTCTGAGGTGCCAGAATGGCAGGCACTTACCACCACAGCGGGCAACTTTTACCTTTTAAATAAACAGGTGAATTATTTTTCTAGTTCAAATCACTGAGGATCAACAGTAACTGAAACTAATTTGCCATCATAGGAGCTCCCAGCTGAAGGCAACTGACATCCACACCAAAAATCCTTTTTCTCCCAAACCCTCCATGGACATCCCTTTCTTTGTGCATTTAACTAATTAGCTACTTGTAAGGAGAGGACACATGACAAGACACATTTCTTTTTCACATCTGGTCTCATTTAAGAGCAAGAGGGTTGGAGCCAGAACTGGGTTCAATTTACGAGTGTCACAATAAATAAATATGACCGGAGGAAGTCATTTTCAGTTCTCTGAGGTTTTAGCATCTCTAAGATGGGACTCATAATAGATATTACCTCATTGGGTGGTAAGGATCAAATGAGCTAAGATTTGCAAATTTCCTAACGGGGGAACATGCATTCAATAAATGAAGAATTATTAGTCGTTAATAATCGCTCCAAATCTGATAACTCTGCCAGGCAGTTATTATCCCTGTCTGGATGTATGAGTGATGTCTTATCCCGGGTCAAAATCTCCTAGACAAGAGCCCCATCATCCTCCATCACCCGAGTCAACTTTATAGACTTTTACAGAATGGGTTGCTGTATCCAGCACAAGAAGGGCATTCTCCTTGCTGAAGGCTAGCGCCACCGGGTGGGACAGACCGTGAGTGACCATGGGCTTCAGTGCTGGGAACTCTTCAGGTTTCCCCAAACATAGGACAGCTGGACCAGAGGTGTCCGCAATGATCACGTTTCCCTGGTGATCAAAGGCCACAGCCGAGGCAGTTATTCTGGAAGGAAAGAAGAGGTTCAGTCCGAAGCTATCCACCTGGCCAATTAGCTGCATGGCGGGGTTAAACACCTTCACCCTGGAGTTGCTACCCGCTGTCCCCGGTGTCCAGAGGTGCTCTAGGACCGCGATGACCCCGGTGAGCCCAGACACGGCCACCCCGCGGGGGTTGCACAGGTAAGCGTGCAACTTCTCAGTCCTCCGAAGGACCCCGTTCGTGAAATCCATTTCCAGCAGGTGCAAGGCCCCTGCCTCCGCGTCAGTCACCAGGACCTGGTTCTGAGGAGTGGTTGCCACACCCCAAGGCAGGGAGAACTGCTCTCCAACCACTAGCTTGACCTGACCGAAGAAATCAAATACTTTGATGGAGCGGTCGCCGGCGTCGGTAACAACCACGTGGCAGTCGTTGGTGACAGCTACATCCAGTGGGTACTTGACGTCGTGCTCAGCGTCGCCCTTCTCTGCAAACTGGTGGGCACCTCCTCCCCCGGAGTCAAAGATCTTGACCCGCCTCTTACCATCGTGCACCACCACGACTCGTCCTGTCTTGGGGCACAGAGCCAGCCCAGTGGGGTTCACCAGGGTCCCCCATCCCCCAAAGGCGTGCTGGCAGGTGAGCTCCCCGGACGCGCCCCGGGCGGCGCAGGGGCCCGCGGGGGCTGCGCGGAGGGTGGAGCCCAGGAGCTCCAGGAGGTGCAGCACCGGCAGGCAGTCGCTGGTGTCGCAGGCCCGGCAGGCGCGGCGGCAGAAGGGACACTCGAGGGCCAGCGTCCGCGGGTGCGCCAGGGCGGCCAAGCAGGCCAGGCAGACCACGTGGCCGCAGGGCAGGTTGCGCGGGCGCCGCTGCTGCAGGTGGCCGAACCTCTCGAAACACACCTTGCACTCCAGCAGGCTGACTTCCGCCTCGCGCACCAGCTCGGGCGGCGCCCCCGACGCCTCCTCCCCCATCGCGGCGGCAGCAGCCCGGGGTCACCGAGGCGGCCACGGTCACGGTCACGGGGCGGAGCGTCAGTCCCGGGCGCGCAGCGCGATCTGCTGCTCCCTGGTGGCCGCACGGCGCGGTTACCATTTCCCAGTGGTTCGCATGCGCGGTGCAGGGACCTGGGATGTTCATGTCATGGAGAGGGGAGCCCCACTGGTTGCTCACCGTTAGTCTACGAGTGGCAAACGGGAGCCGGGACCGAGTCTTCCAACACTGGTACCCAACAGTGCTTCGAACCCGCAGCGCTGGATGCTGGGTGTCGAGGCTCGGCAGGGATGAGGCATGGCCCCTTGACCACGACCTGAGCAAGAAAACAGGCACAGGAAAGAAGCCAGACGTCAAGGGGGGTGAGGCAGGTGTGAGTGCGTGCGTTGGGTGTGTTATGTCATACTCATGATAAAGTAGATACTTAATGTTTGTAGCTAGGCATGGTGGCACACACCTGTAATCTCAGCAGAAGCAGGAAAACTGTTAGGCTAGGCCCCAGGACCTCAGAAAGCAAGCCAGCAAACAAAGCAATACTTGTGAAATGGATTTGTCTGGAAGGAATATTAAAAAGCTGTTAGTTGCCTGATGTGGTGGTGCATGCGTTTAATTCTACTTGGGAGGCAGAGGCAGTCAGATCTCTGGGCAGTCTGGTGTATATAGGGAGGTTCAGACTGGCCAGGGCTACATAGTGAGATTCTCTCTCTCTCTCTCTCTCTCTCTCTCTCTCTCTCTCTCTCTCGTGTGTGTGTGTGTGTGTGTGAGAGAGAGAGAGAGAGCATTCACTTCACGCCTGCCTTCTTGTTTACAAACATTGCTTTATTTAAGCCTCGTGACAATCTCCATTGTACCCTTTCTGCAATAGAGTTCAAAGAGGTTAAATATCCTGCTCAGAAGGATGAAGAATGGCTAGGTTGCAATTTGAAGCCAGTTTGACTATTAGCGCCTCACCAAATGTGGTTGTAGGTGGCAAATGTTTCACTCTTGTCACCAAAGGCTTAACTGATCCAGGGTGGGCTGGGCTGCAGGGATTTGTGAAAGGACCCCCAGATGACTATAGTGTACAGCCAAGTTTGAGAACCAGAACTATAATCCCTTCAAAAGGCACCAAGTTCAAGTCTCCCAGGCTCTTTTAACACTGGGGCTGGAGAGATGGCTCATGGGGTTAAGAATACTTGCTGCCCTCCCAGAGGACCTGAGTTTGCTTCCCAGGCAGCTCACAACCACCTGTATCTCCAGCCCCAGGGGATCCAACACCATCTTCTGGCCTCCACTTGCATACACATGGCACACATTCACACAAAGATACACGTACACATAAATAAAAATAAATCCTTAAAAATTAATATCTGCCATACCTCAGAACAATCCTCAAGTAAGGGTTGGTATCATCTTCAGGAATCCATTGTGGTATTCAAATCTCTCTATTCGGAAGTTCACTCCCATCTTATACAATGTCTTGGCAAAAACCACATATTAGATTATTTCTGTTTATTTTAAAAGTCATGATCAGGACTGTTCACCCTCTTGTTCACTAGACTTCTAAGGGAGGAGGAAACTCAATCCCCCGTTAAAACTCCTGGAAAGAGATATTATTCAAGGCAAGGAACAACATTTTCTTATCAACTGTCACATGACTCAAAGATTGGGCACTAGCACACAGTAACCACACCGATGCTATAATTCCAGGGCACGTTTCCATTCCAAATAACCATCTAAAACCATGGCTTATATAAATTTCTTTCAGTAATATTTTTAAAATTTGTGTTTGTATATGTCCACATGTATGTGCAGTTACCCTTGTAGGCCAGAAGCAGGTGACAGACCCCTTGGAGCTGAAGTTAACAGGTGGTTATGAGCAGCCCAATATAGGTGTTGGGTTCTGAACTCAGATCCTCAAGATTAAGCAGCAAGTGCTCTTAATCACCAAGCATCTCTGCAGCTCCTCAGAAGTAATTTTTAAATCAAGAAATACATTCAGGAGATAGGAACTGGTGTATTTTTAAAAGAACTAGGCTTTTCTAAGAGAAATATAATGAAAGCCACATTTAAAAATAACAAATTTCCTTATAAATATGATTTAAAAAGTTAAATTAGGATTGTTTAGTTATTTAACTCAAAATATCCAAAGCAGGACTAGAGAGATGACTCGGTGGTTAAGAGCACCGGCTGCTCTTGCAGAAGACCTGGGTTTGGTTCCTAGCACCCACATGGCAGCCAACAACCATCTGTAATTCCAGTTCCAAGGGATCTGATGTCCTCTTCTGACCTCCCTGGGCACTGCATGACACGGGTGGACTTACATGCAGGCAATACATGCATACACATAAAAAAATCAACTCATATTTTAAAATATCCAAAACATCTTTTTGACCTTGCAATCAGTTGAAAAATGTACGTGAGATATTTTATACTCATTTTTGTGTGTTCTAAGTAAATCCGCGTGTGTTTCACACTCACAGAAAATCTCAATTCAGTTGAGCTCATTTTCATCTGTGACTGGCTCCCACACAGAAAAGCACAAATGCAGGCCAAGTCTGTTATGAAATGTTTCCTTCTGAAGATATTTCCCACACTGACCTCGGTGATTCCCTTACTCGTTTCTCACTTGTTTCTGCTCCAACAATGTTTCAAAACTATTCAAAAACCTCGGTTCCCTGCGGATTATTGTAGGTTGGCTTCAGCCCTCCAGTGGAATCCAGCTAGCCTACCTCCTTCCTGGTCCTTTGCTGCCCCCGTGAGGCAATGTGCAGTACTGCAGCACCCATTTTCTCCGGCCCGGATTCCAGTTCACCCAAAGCCTCAGGAGCACAGAGATGTTCAGCAAGGTAAACCAGAAAAAAAAAAAAAAACAAAACAAAACGGGAAAAATAAGACATGTTCATGGTATTCGAGGAATACCACAGTGAGGCTGGAAGGCTTTGAGGCTCATAATAGAGGATCTACCCTAATAATTAACTATCAAGAACCCGACAGTGAGTTTGAGTCTTGTTTTGTCTGAGACAGGGTCCCATGTAGCTCAGGTTGCCCTCAAACTAGTTAGGAGGCTGAGGCTGGCTTTGAACTCATGACACCCCCACCTCTTCTTCCCTAGTGCTGGGATTACAGGTGTTCACCACCATGCTTGACCCAACTAGTATATTTGAAATATGAAAATGTAACTGTGACATCTAATTTACAATGAAGGTTTTCTCAATTATGTAAAGCTTCTAGGTTCAGAAATAAAAACCAAAATAGGTTTGAATCTTTCTCAGTTCAGGAATCTTGGCAACCCTCATCTCCATAGTGCCCCCCACCTGCCTCAGTGGGCTCACAAGTTATAGTCTGGTGTTTCTACCCACCTATGCCAATACTCCTTCGGTTGTTCTGTCCTTTTTCTATTTTACCAAAGATACAGTCTAGTTGACTTCTTTATCCATTTTAAAACTTGCACTGTATCTTCCTCCCCTCTGTCTATGGCTTTCTGTCTCTGAAGAGAGACACACTAAATTCCACCTCTTATTTTGCTCAACACTGTATCATGTCCAGCTCAGGTCCAAAGGCATGTACAGACATTTGCTGAATGGAAGCTGACTGTCATGACAGGGGGAAAGATTCAGGGTTCAGACCCCTTGGGTTAGGGAGGTAGGTCAGTGGACGAACGCATGGCTACAACAGCAGCCAATGAGAATAAAAACCAAAAATCCCAGTTTTGAAAAATATTTAATAATTCAGGAAATGGTTGATGAACTTGAGAGGAGGGTAGCAGAGACACAGAGGCTCTGAAATGGGCAGGACGTTGTAGAAACATTCATTTGTAGAAGCAGACAAAGAAAAAAAACAGAAAACACATCACCGTCTTAGCAGTAATCACCTCTAGTGACTTTGGCTTTTGTTTTTCTTCGGTAGACTTTGCTACACTTTGCAGATTTTTAGAGTATTATGTTTGTAGTATGAGACATTGAACCCAGGGTTCCACACATGCTAGGCAAGCAATCTACCCACATCCAGTGAATTTTTAAGATGTTAACTTATGTGTATTTGTATGTGTGTGTATCACATTGTGTGCAGGTGCTTATGAAGGCCAAAAGAGGGCATTGGATTCCCCCAGAGCTAGAGTTACAGGTGGTTGTGAACTGACATGGGTGCTGGGAAACAAACTCCATCTTCTGAAAGCAAGTTCTCTTAACTGCCTAGCCATCTCTCCAGCCCACAGTGTATCTTTTTATTTTTCTAAAAAAATTTTTGAGACAGGTTCTCATTATATAGCAGTGGTTGGCCTGGAACTGGCTACATAGACCAAGCTGGCCTCAAACTTACAGAGATCCACCTGCCTCTGCCTTCTGAGTGCTGGATTAAAGGCATGTATCACTTGGGTCCCAGTATATTGTTTTTAAAAAATATTTTTTTATTTTATGTATATGAGTGTTATGCCTGCATGTAGGTAAGTACACCCATGTCATGCAATGCCTGAGGAGGACAGAGAGGCCATTGGATCCCCTGGAACTGGAGTTACAGACAGTTGTTAGCTGCCATGTGGGTGC